TTTTTTCCGTTGTCTTTTTTACCCTTGTCTTTATTATCTAGATTCGCTTGTGACACTCACTTTAAAATTACCACTATAACTGTTGATTATCACAGTTATATCCATAGCTTTAAATAATTGTCTCATTTTCGTCAAAGTCCATACAGGCGAGTTAAATTACTTTAGAACATCTTTTGAAAAGACAAATTGGTCTCATCTATCTCTGTTATTACAATACAAGCTGGGAAACTCACTTTAGAAATCGATCGTTACATCTAAACTGGCATGCAATTTAACTTCACTTTTACTTTCACTTTCATTAACTTTCTTACGTAACATAGCTTGGTCGCCTATATATATATATTGCCCGACTTGACTGAGACCTAGAACTTTCAACAAACTACGAGACGTTATAATGTAACAATACACACTTAAAAAAAACAGAAAAAATTCAGAAGGTTCGAGTAACGTGATGTCAATTCACAACAACTGAACTACACAACAAATGATGCGTAAAAAGTTGCGTAAACAAACCTGCGATAAATTATCACTTCTAAGAATATTAAATTCAACATTCGCGCTTTATAACTATCTAATTCATAACTCTCTTATTAAATTTATATGAAACAGTCATGTATATCTAACAAATTTGTACGACAAAAGATTTCGAGTTTGTGCACAGGTAAGATCACACAATTTTAACTTAGTTTATAAATGATAAGTACTGATTTAGTGCACAGATTTTGCGTCTCTATATGACATGTAATATACTGAATTTATTAATATAAAACATTTTTTATATCTTTTGTTAAACTGAGATTCAAAGAACAATGAAGTTTTCTGTTTCACTTAGTCTATAGTACACTGTTTTTGTTGTCACTTCGTAGCTATGAAAACGAGTATAGTGAGATAAAAAAAATTTTTAAAAATGTGCAAAATAATGGATTGTATTTTTATAAGAATTAGCTGATAAATACTGAGCTAGGTGTAAAAATAAAGCTGTTCTGGTAAAATTAAATATTTGCGTTTGTTACTAAGTACATGCATTCGAATATAAACAGATTTCAAAACTACACACACACAGATTCACAAAATAGATTTATTCCTGTTATAAAAAAAGTTATGAAACTTTAAAAATATACACACAAAAGCCAGTGGTTAGTTTTTTTCAATTTAAGAAACTGAAAACAAATGGTTTACGATAATCTTTAAACTGGGGATGCAGACAAACGAATCGCTTACGTATAACCGGATAACCTAAGTGAATAACCTCCAGGAATCTAAAAAAAAATGTTTAATGAACTTAATTACGCAACTTCTATTCAGCTGTTAAACAACGGAAATCCTATATTATTCAACTGACTCCAAATAAGGTATTTTTATTTGCATTCTGTCACTGGCTCATCATTAAGCTGATTAAACAATAATTCTTAAAGTTTGAAAATAAAGTTTTTTCTCTTTAATATATATATATGTTCGTCAATCACTCAAATGAACTGATAATTTTTCTAGTTATTTGTAAAATATATATTTTAGTGAGTTAATCATTTATTTAAAAAGCTAATTACACTCTACAGTCATGAATTTACAGGGAATTTGGGTTATTCGTCGTATATACATTTGGGCTAAATTCTATCATTGAATCATAAGAATAAAGTCTTAAATGTTTTGTTGTTGTTGTTTTAAGGTTGTGGACTACTATCCCATTCGGATTTCTTAGATAGGATATTAAAAATAATGTACTTCGTAAATCGTTGACATCCAAATAACAGATATATATATAGGTATCTACACTGATAAGAAACGACAGACATCGTTTAAAACAAAGATTATGAGACTTAGTATTCAATGAGAGGGGATCTTGTTGGGGTTGAAAATATGTAATTACTTAGAAAAAGGGAGCAAAACGTTGAAATTGATTATCAAGAGAAATTAACTCCAGTATAAGACCAGAAATATTGTGATCTCATAATTACGGTGCCTGGCGTAGGTTGGTGGTTAGGGCACTCGATTTGCAATTTGGGAGTCGTGGTATCGAAACCTTTCATCGATCACGCCTAGCCTTTTCAGGCATGTGGGCGTTAAAAGGTAATGGTCAATCCGACTTTTAGTTTGTAAAGAGAAGCTCAAGAGATAGCAGTGGGTGGTATTGGGTAGCTATATTATTTCTAGTCGATCACTTCAAAATTAGAATTAGCTAGCGCAGATAACCCAAAGGTATCTTTGCGCAAAACATCTACAAACAAAGATTTTGTAATTATAAAATGCGTACTCCTTGTATTTATTTGTAATTAAGTGTTTAACACTAAAATTAGGTGTTTACTTCTAAAAAAGCAATGAATTTTTAACATATGAAAAAAAAAGTTGTAAATTTTTGTTGTTTTTGAACGATACAATTTATTAATTCATGGTTTAGAAAAACACGTTGGTTCAAGAAATCAGTTTAGCACAAAGATACGATATGTTATCACCCGAGCGTTTTCGAAAGATGAATCTTTCTTCTTCAGGAGCAAACTGTAGATTCTTTACAAGACAACGTTACTTATAGAGAAACATAACCTTTAAAAAAACGAAAATTTTATTAGTCCAAATATTATTTGAAATCACAAGTTTCTTAAATATTATTTTACGATGTGAATGATCCCAGTGGCTCAACTGTAAGCTTGAGGGCTCATACGTTAAAAATCGAGGTTCGATACATTTAGTGGGCCCACTGAAGACAGCTTATTGCGTAGCTTTGCACTATAAAACTAAAAACAAGATGCAGTTCGAATATGAGTTAGGACAAAATAGATAATATATCAATGAACTATCAAAAGAGGCGAAAAAAACAACACAAACAAACTGCAAAACCAGTAACTTAATGATCAAATATAATTCGTTTCTGAACTCATAAAGCTTAGTTATAACTTTATAGAAACACAGTCATACATTTTCAAGAGTGACAATCACGAAATCATATATTGCAGTAAAACTGTATACAAAAAAGTTGAAAATGCACATATAAGGAACACCCCTACAGTGGCACAGCGGAAAGTCTGAATACTTATAACGCAAAAAAAACAACAAAAAAAACAGGTTTCGATACCTGTGGTAGGCACATTACAGATAGCCCATTGTGTAGCTTTGCGCTTAACTACAAACAAATTCACACATTAAGTTATAGTATAATGATTTCACGTAAAACTACACATTCAATGCCAAAGTCAGAAGGACATGCAAGGTTGACTAATATAAAAAATATTCCCGATGACGATTTGCAAAAATAACTTTTATTTTATTAATTCATAACCGCTTACAAACTTGTACCTGTAAAGTGACCACACCAATTTCAAATTCCGATATTATCAGTTGCACGACGCTAGATGAATGACCGAAAACTCGGAAAAAATTCCGCTAGGGATCGCATAGAATGTCAGTCTTCTTTAACATTTACTAAACTATCATTTTGACGCGAATAAGTAAAACAACTTTAAAATTTTTTTTTATTATACTGTGTGATAAGTATAAGTATACGGTGAACGTTTATTATACTAAAACAATAATTTAACATTTTGATTATAAAATAAAAAAACAACCAATTTAAATAACAAACAAAAACTTGTTACTAGATTGTGCCTTAGGTGGTAATTTCATGCATGCTTATCGTTCCAATAATCTAAAACCTCCCAGAAAATCCCCTGTCATTAACCTTGCTCTTCAACAGGCAGAAACAGGTTATATTGCAGTGACAGTGTTGGAGGTCATCATTTGTTGGTAGAATTGGTTCTCTTCACTCCTCAAGGAATCGTTCACATGTTACAATATATTGCAGGTAAGTACAAAATGCTATATATATATCATATATGTTTTTTAAATATAATTGAGAAATGGCATTCGGTAATTTTATTTTAGTGTATGAATTGTATTGTCTGCTAGTTAAGCGAATTATGAAGATATGAATATATATATTTGTTTGTGTTACTTTACAGGCTTGTAAGAAAATCCGAAATGCAGAAAATTATCATTATATGTACTGCGTTGGTTGTATGTGTTCTTCTGGACAGCACAGAATCTGCTGTCAAGGATTTTTCAGGGTATGATAATACTTACTAACAATTGAAACTGATTTACAAATCTTTATCTATATATAGCTATGCAAAATGCTGTTTTTGTTCTTTACAACCTACCTACATGTTTCATTGAGCTTTCTCGTGTTTTATCAATAGGTGTTTTTTCTCATCCTTTAATATTCGTTCAAGTGTTTGAGTCATTGATGTGAGTTTTCCATTATTTTGTTCAATAGTTTTGTCTATTGTATCTCTTATTACTTTCTTACTATACCTGTGTGTTCCTCTTTCTTTTGTTTGTCCATGTATCTTGTACATCAGTCTCTTTGTTAATTTACTTGACATTTTTTTCTTCACTAATTTCTGGCGCTTTGTTATTATTTCGCTGTGTTAATTAGATTAACTATCGAGTTTGATGCCAAATTGCGTTTTTATACTCATTGTGTAAATAATTTAAATAACTTTTAACTCAACTTCTTTTTTAAAACATCTTCGCTGCTTAAATACATTTCTGTTAGGTCTTTTCTGATGTGCTTGTTTTTTAAAACTAATTGATATATTTGCTATTATATTTTGGGGCCTTGAGTATTCGTCAACTTCTGATTTACCTTGTGTTTATATTTGTTGTGCAAACGTAACGGGGAGAACTGCAGAAAGCCAAGTATTGACAGAACCGAGCTATATATGTTAATAATAAGGAATAGAAATTTAAGGTTCTTTCGCCAGAATTATACATTTTAACTTAGTTGTTTTCTTTTTTAATTGGTCTAACATTATTACAAAGAATTGTCAAACTTTATTGTTAAATTTGTCCTTTGATAAAAAATAATGTTTTTTTTTTGTTAGTTAACAAACTCATAGGTTGGTTTTTAATAAAATCATTTTAGAATTGCATATATCTTGGTATTGAGATTAAACATGGTTTTCGAACAAAGATAAATATTTTAAATTCAAAACTCTTTATTCTCGCAGGCATAAAGTGATCGGTGCGTTTGCAAGTAGTGAGAAAGAACTTGATGTCTTACGACATCTGAGAAAAGACCCAAAGGTAAGATCCAAGTGTCATAAGAGCTATATATCAAACATATATATTTAAGATATATACCAAATGCTCCTTAAACCAAGGTTTTAATGGTTGGAATTAAGATTATGTTTTTAACATGGGAGAACATGGAAATTTAGATAAATTTCAGTGGAACTAGATGATAGTAACTTAAAGTTAAAAAGAAAGTAACTGAATCAGGACTAATCGAAATAATTTAAGGTCTTACATTTTCTTGTAAAACAGGCTGAGATTATGCTGTTGATTTTTATAACAATACGCACAATTATTATCTTTATTTCCAGAAAATAAAACTATGTTAAACATAATATGGATTTTTTTTTTCCCAAATAAGTGAAGTTTCAATCATTTATGTTTTCGAATAACAAGAGAAGCCTTTGTTAAACTAAGCGACGAATAAAGACAACATTATCATCAGTGATAAGTGAGATGTCATTTTTTTTAATGTTACGAGAGTATGCATTTATTTTATCTATTGAGGTGGATTTTTGGAATGAGCCGATCGAGGAATACGAAAAAGTCAGCATTCACACTTCCCCGGACGTGGAAAAAACAGTGCTTAAAGAACTGAGTGATAATGGAATAGATTTTTATATAATAACAGATAATCTGAAAAGGTAAGTTTAGGAAATTATACGATGTTAAGTGTGTTTAGATGTAACAAATGAACACGAAAATAGTCAAACAAACTATTGAATAATAAACATTTTTATTAATTTACTTTTAAAACAATTCTACACAAAGCTTTAAAAAGCTACAATATTCCTCTAAGTAAATTATACTAAACCATTTTAAACCTTACAAACGACAACAAAAATAATCTATATAATTCGTTAGTTAAATTAAATATTTTATTTATTTTTCGTTTTGCAAACTGTTGTGTTAAACTAGTGTAGAAAAACCTTTAATAACATACAGCATTGTCAAAACTTGTTTACTTTGTTTTTTAATTCTAGTTTTGTGAGAGAAATACGTTTGACGATTTGGATACTGAATTCTGATGTGTATCAGGAGCTTTGTTGCCAAAATATAACCACATATGAATGCGTTTTAAAATTTTTGAATCAGATATTTCATATTCATAATTGGTTAATATTGTTACGTCTCCGTTCGTTAGTTAATTTTCCCTAAATTCGTTCCGAATACAACTTTACGATACACTTAATTTCAACAGTCGCTCTATAACAAACGCTCACGTCTCACGTGGCCAACAATAGTTTATCCGCACACATTCAATTACTCATTACCTCTGTTCCGTCACGTTGTGACCATCTTATATATACCAGACTACCCCCAATCTAGTAGTCTCCCGATAATTCATGAAAGTACGAGAAGGAGT